ACTCTCTGCCTCGCCGGGCCAGCTCCTCGGGCATTGTGTCCCTGGCCTCCTTGGGGCCCCACAAGTGCCGTCAGGCGGTGTGTAGGGTTCCCCTGCGCCGTGGCCCGCCTGTGGCTGTGAGCTAGGCGGGGTCCCAAGGACCCCCCCCATCTCCCAAGAGCCCAGGCACCCGGCGGCCATCATACAGGGCAGGGAAAGTCTGGGGTTTAGGAAGTCCACTAGCTCCTCGGGCATTGTGTCCCTGGCCTCCTTGGGGCCCCACAAGTGCCGTCAGGCGGTGTGTAGGGTTCCCCTGCGCCGTGGCCCGCCTGTGGCTGTGAGCTAGGCGGGGTCCCAAGGACCCCCCCCATCTCCCAAGAGCCCAGGCACCCGGCGGCCATCATACAGGGCAGGGAAAGTCTGGGGTTTAGGAAGTCCACTGTCCTCACAAGGGCACCCCCTCATTAAGCTTCAGAAACTGAAGACACCCCAGTTGGGGGCCTTGGCCTCAAGCCTCTTTCCTACCTGTCCCCCGGTTCCCACACTCCTTTGGGTCTTTTCTCGTCCCTCAGCCTGTGCTTGTCGGGAACCCCTGTGCTTACCCCGAACCTTCGCCTGGCACCCTGCTCCTCACCTGCCTTGTTTTCTCCAAACTTGTCAGGGCAGCAGGCCCCCATGGGTTCCCCTTATTTTAACTTATGTTGGCTTCCTCATAGGGACGTAAGCCGAGCCCGCCAGGGAAGGGGGGGTCTTTCTCTGTCTGCCTGTTGCCCTGTGCCTGGGACAGCTTCTGGCATGTAGTTGGTGCTCGGTCGGTAGATACTTGTCGAATGCACCAACATGCCCAGTGGGACCCGGCACCGATTGTCGGTTGGCACTGGCCTGCCTGGGCACGCTGCTGCACGCTCCACCGTGGCAGGACCTGTCTTGGAGGGAGGGGGACTGGTGACCTCAGCCCACGGCACCGCCAGTTCAGGCTTTCTGCCTACCAGCAACTTCTAATTTGGGTGCGTGGTTGGGAGACGCTCTCAGCTGTCAGCACTGCCTCCGGGACGCCAGCTCCCTGCCTCTCACACAGTCATTAATGTAGCGGAGGCAGGACCCCTCTCCCATGGACTGAAGGTGCCACTGGTGAGCGGCGGGCCTTTGTCCTGGCTGCTACCTGTTACCTGGATGTTGGGGCCCAGAGAGCTCATCAGGGGCTGGGCGTGGCTGATGCAGCTTCCTCTGCAGGTGGGACAGGAGACCACCACAGTGCCTCGCGCTGCGGTCCCTCGAGGAGCGATGACGGAGTATAAGCTCGTGGTGGTGGGCGCTGGAGGCGTGGGGAAGAGTGCCCTGACCATCCAGCTCATCCAGAACCACTTCGTGGACGAATACGACCCCACCATCGAGGTGAGTGGTGCCGCCCACCCGCCCCAGCCCCATGTCCTGACGCGGGCTCACCTTCTGCCTGCTCGGTCGGAGGAGGTCCGTGCACCAGGGGACCTAGCGGCCACAGGAGATCAAGGAGGGGCTGGGAGTGCAAATGCCCCATATCAGGAGGGCTGGGTCCCTAAGGTGTGGCCTCCCACAGGACTCCTACCGGAAGCAAGTGGTCATTGACGGGGAGACGTGTCTGCTGGACATTCTGGACACGGCCGGCCAGGAGGAGTACAGCGCCATGCGGGACCAGTACATGCGCACCGGGGAGGG